TTTAAAAATAATTAATATTTTCAATTAAAATAGTTTAAGTTTTAAAAATTTATATATAAATTTAAATTAAATATTACTGATACTATTCTTTTGTATTCAACTAAACATTAATGCAGTAGTTGTATTTTTAAAATATGGTGAAAACTCATCAATATTTTGTGATAATTTATTCAAATTTAAAGCTTTGTTAGCAATATCTTCAAAAAATTCATTTTTAACCAATATTGATAAACTATCACTGCTTAATTCATCACAAGAATTAATACTATTACTAGAAGTTTTAGAAGTAAATTCTTTATAAGAATTTTATTTTCATCTGATTCTTCTGAAGAATATATAGCAGGCTCATCATGGTAACTAATATTGTTTTCTTCAAAAGAATGTTTGTTGGATTCTTCATAATACTCTATTGGTTCATTTGAAGAATACATGGAAGAAGGGTCTAACTGCACTATAGAACATTTTGAAGAATCTTGTGTTAAAAGTTTAGAAGTGTAATAAGAAAATCTTTGTCTTAATGAAAAAATTTCATTATTTTTATTATTTTTTGTTCCAAATTTATTATGCAACATGTTTATAAAACAATTATAGAGAAAAGAGATATTTGATAAACTAGAAAGTACAAATAAATGAGATATTTAATAAATTAATAAGAAGAAAAAATATTTAATAAACTAGAAAAAGAAATAAAAGTAGCTATCATTATAACTTGTAAAAAAAAAAAAATAAAAAAAATAATTAGATAAAAAATATAAACTTTTATTAATAGTTAATATTAAATTTAGAGAACTACTAAGGGTGTAGCAACTTAGTGAAGTGGTGGAGTTGTCGCATCCCCAGACAGCAGGTTTAGAGTTCGAATCCCATGGATGACAATTTTGAAAATACTAGATCTGTATTGGTTAACGTTAAGATTATCAGTTGGAACCAGACATCTGTAATCTTGGTCACACCATCTCCAATGGGAGCTTTGGTGCAATAAATTCAGGAAACAGAATTACTGAAAACCTATTTGGCAAGTTCTGAGTCAGAAGGTAGTATGATCTTTGATAGTGCTACAGAAAGACTGAATTTGGAATTGGAGACTGAGACCAGAGAACCAAGCAACCAGGTCCTTAAGTGGGGAGATATACTAGCTGAACTGCCAGGTTGCCAACCAGAAGAAAAGAACATATGCTCTAGAAGCATGTACCAAGGGAAGGGAGACCATA